ATTTTTTCACACGAGTTGATAAATAGATTTCGTGAAAAATCTATAATATGGAAGAATTTATCAAAATAATCATCATAATAATATTAACTAGCTAAGGTAGAGGACTCATATTTCTTTCATATTTGTCTATAGAAAGATTGCAGAACGATATGCGAGTGATGTATAAATTATGTTTCATAATGCACGAAGGTTATATTATTCAACATTGTATTTTGCATATTTTGTCGTTGTTGCATATAAATGCATATTTGATATTATATTATATTGGACAAATTAAGATAATAGGTGTATGTAGGAGTTTAGGCCATAGGTACCTACAAAATTTGCAAAGTGTTGATATTGAATATAGGTATAATATAACACAAATCTGTAAAAAAATATTATTTTCTACGGTCAACTAATATATGTATGTAATAACTAATATTAATATTATCGGTGAGGTAACATCTCGAGGCGTGTAATATTGTGGGAAGTAAACTTCAGTTATCAGCCAGATTTTTGGTTGCTTGATTATTTTGCAATTATTTTTCGAGTTTTTATCAGTTGATTAAAATATTATATTTTTATATTTCTTTTTCATTTAAATATTATAATTTAGGTTCCATATTTTATATTATTATATTAGATTTTTTTAGAGCATATTTTAAGTGCATATATATTGTATGTTTTTTAAACGAATATGCGCATACATATTTTGAGGTTTTCGAGTACTATAGAAGTCTTCAGCCCTAATAATAACAAACAATGTGATTCACTGGCCATGCTCGAAATGGTGAAAATATAGTGAAGGACGATGGAAATTGGTCGTAGACCAGCACGCGATACTGTTGCGCGTAATGTCGTAGCTATTAAACTATGTCGTAGATCGGGGGTCGCCAACCTTTTCAAACAAGTGAGCTACATTTGAAATTTTTAGTGGCAGGTGATCGACATCCAGGAGAATTTAGGTATTTAGGAAGAGATTTGCAAAAAAAAAAAAAGGTGTAAGCTCCGAAACGAAAATATACGGTACATATTATACGCGTTGCACACTTGCACTTGACGACTAATTGAAATGGCCCCTTAGTCATCGAGGCATTTGTTTTCAAATAAAAAAAAAAATTCTGACTATTACGATTGACCGATAAGCGATCGACGGATAATAGTAAAATTAATTTTTATAACGATCGACCTATATTCCTAGGAAGATCGCGACCCCTGGCGTAGATAGTTAAGTTATAGCTAATTATTGAGGTACCGTTAGTTATTGTTAATAGTGTATACCTATACATATGAATGATAGGGAAAACATATTAACATTAGGAAAGACATAAATGAAGTTAATACAAATTGTACAAATTTTGTGTTTAAAAAAAAAAAAAAACCGAACGCATCGATAATAATTACTTTTTACGCATAATGCAATAAACACATCAATAAAGGGAATGAATATTTGCGGCCTTAAAATTTATATTTGTCGGCTTTGAACTAAATTATTTTACTACGAATTGAACAATAGTATTAAAATAATAAACTATTATTATAATTTAATGATTCACAACGAATAAAATATAATTAAACGCTTTGAATTAAAGCCAAATAGCTTTTTTTCATTAGTTATTATTGCGTTTACTGCTTATTGCAACACTTGCAGGCTACAAATACGTATGCGTACTAACCATAAAATGCGCTTATAAAAGGTGACAACTTGTTCGCTAAATTTATTTGGAACTAATAAAATATTTTAAGGAAATGCTATAATTTTCATAATATTATTAAAGCTCGCGTTTATATTTTATAATGTAAACCTTGATCGTTTTTTTGGTTATTTGATTTTTTGATTTTCTGAATAGTTAAAATTAATCAATATTATCAGGTTGATTTTTCTCTCAGCATTTCCAGTATGCCATACGTGTACTTATTGTTCCATTTTGAATTCAAATTTGTCTGTTTCATTCAATATAGTTTTCCTCAGAGAACGTTACCTGGCTGTCTGCAAAATATCATATCACCTCGATCGGTTCCGAGAGATTATGTCGTCAAAATCAGCTGCAGATGCAGTCCTGTGGTGTCACATCATATTTTGATATATTAAAACGAACACATATAACCTATTTATAAATCTAATAGGTAGCTGTAATACAATGTTTGTATTCATATATATATATATATTATACTTATGCTTTCTTACACATAGGCGTGTTTACAATACATAATAATAATATAATATGTCAGTGACACCCCCGAGGACTCCCTTGGTCGTGAAATAATATCAAATCAGTCTGGGTATAAATTAGACCCGACGTAATCATTGAAGAACTGCGAGAGCATGATATTATGCATGTTGCGTCTTACACCGTTAAAATGTACCCAGTATATGGTTTAAACCTCGAGTTTGCAGTACTTATAATATTATATTATGATGCGAGGCAGCACAAAATTCCGTCCGAAGCGTATAACGTATAATAATGTTTACTGTTTGTTGTAAATTTCCGCAAATTATTCTCAAATGCGATAGTTATATTATATTTTCGTGATTTCTATACGAATACGTAAAACGGCTTTTTAAAATTGAATTTCCTTTTTCGCGCTGACCAAACCCGTTTCTCGGTCACTGATCTTGAAGTAGTCCAAACTGGTCCGAACTGTGTGTTTTCGCGCCTATAATAATGATATCATCAAGATAGTACCCAATATAATAATATAACATAATATACGAACTATAGTACCCGATTTGTCCCCCTTTTATTTCCACCTTTAAAGTCGATTCTTAAAAAAAACTTTATATTTTTATCGGACGGGAAAGTGGGAAGAAGTATATAACATAAATAATCATGACATGTACCAAGCTGTATAAAATATACTATATTATAATATTAATACGTGACGCTAAATGTCACGTGGACAATATCTATTTAATCCAACCATTTATTTTTCTTAGTAACGTATATTTAGTTGACTTTTTGATAGATATTATATTATATTATGTACCTACACAAAAACAGTCAACACAATAATATAGAACCGAAATACATAACGTCGAGTTCCCATGGCTACGACGGGCGTCCAGAATAAAACGTTTATGTGCATTGCGATTTTCACAAGGCTCGAGAAAATTCCATAGGTCAATCGATCGAAAATTCAAAAATTTGGTCCGAAAACGTGTCTTTATTCTAATAGACTCGGATTTTGTTTTTGACAACTCACTCAATTTGCTCAGGTCGGTGGACACCATTATAATATTATACATTTGATGATCATCGTACGTGTGCGGAGGCATTTACAATACAATAATAAAAAAAATAATAATATCGTGTGGCCACCTGTTATGTGTCGCGGGTACGAGTCTTTTCCTGTTTTCACTTTTTCGTTTTTTTCTCTCTCTATCTAGTTTTTGATTTTCAGCTGAAAAAAAAACACTAAACGCAGACAGTGGCCGTTTAATTACATGGGGGTACGGTCGATTGGTCATGGTCGATTTCACGTATTCAGGTTCGTCATAATTTTCACCGAATATAACAAATTTTACATTATTATTACTGTTATACACCTCGACTATATCCGCTGCAATTGATTTACATAAATCGTATATAACACCGACGGCTGTGTTCGCGCGTAATAATAATATATGGTATAATCCATTGCAGAAATCGTTTCCTCCTAACGTTTTTGCAGTTTTCCCCAAGTATTAACCATGCCGTCGCGATATGTCGATAATAAACTGCTATACCGATAATATTATGGCAACACAGTGATGGTATTAGAAAAAATAATATATGGTACAGCAAGTAAACGCGCTTAACTCATAAGTAATAATAATCGCGATATTATATATTATATTTTTATGACGGTTATTTTCGGGAAACCAAATCGGCATCGTTCAAAAGTCATTATTGATCAATACCTTCCACTAATTATTAAGAAATAATTAAAGTAGAATACATCAGCTATAGGCACTCGTATCATATTGTTCTAATATTGTATTAGGTAACCAATAATGGCTTTATGATTTCTTTATCAGTCTCTGAAAATTATCTAAGTGCAAGCGTGTATGTAATACACAAACGGATGATCAATGAAATACGAATTAATAATCTGAACGCATGATATTATTACTTGTTGCCTATTTTCATCAGGTCTGAGGATACGACCTGTTGATTTACAAAAATTAAAATTAAAACTAAGATATTATACTGTTATACAGCACAGCGCACGTGCATTTCGATATGCGCATTATAATATTATAATAAGTTATAAGTTATGCTCATCTCAAGCCTGACTAAATATGTTAACTGATTTAAAATTCTTGGAGGCGTATATGATGAACACGTGACCTGACAGTCTTCTTATTTGTTTAATGACTAGTGTATAATATTATATCGTTATCATGTTATTGTACAACCGTTTAGTGGAATATAATATATGTAAGGGCCACAGTCCACATGGTGTACCTACCTGTAGGATATGAATACATTGTCGCCTCATATTATTAGACTCATGATAAATACTAAATTGAATTATTCGCCTGTTGGACTTGAATAGTCTAGCCCTGAATTACATATGTATAATGTTTATTAATAATTAGCACATATTATAAAAAAAACGTCTATTGCATTCACTACGCCTGTAGTTATTAATGGGATCAATTATTATTAAAATACACAATTGGATAAACAAATATAATTAGGTAAATATTTGAATATTTTTATCGATTTCCCTTTAATTGTATTATATAACGTTATATACTACTATAATATAGCTAAATGATATTATAGTATTAAACTGTATATCCGTATTGTACATGATTATCAATACGTGTTTAATACCAGCTGCGGATAATAAATAATTAGTAATTATACTCTCAATTATAACAACTGATATGTACGACTTGCGCAAGCTGCGTCTATAAACTGAACTTCTATAGTCATATATAGACTTCACATCATCAAACACGCGTACATTTTACAAGATATTATGATTTTATTACCTCGTAATAGCAGTTTGTTTTCGGTCCGTTTCAGAAACCCGACATGGTGGAAGAGGAGGACGAACTTGGAAAGGAATCTGACCATCGTCGCCGGCGGTATGCTGTTGGCTTCCTCGTTCCTGGCCCTAGCCCTGTCCACGCTGTACTTCAACCACAGCTGTAACATGGGTAAGACGAAAAAGTTTGACGTTTGATTTATATATAAGGTCAGCAACGACATATATAACAAGCGTGATCGGTAACGACGATATTCTGTTGGAGTGTTGGACGCACGTTTAATTTATATTATTAATTATTACATAATATATTATTATACAGAGTGTAACACTATAGAACTGACTTTTGGAATAACTTGTTCTATTCAATATTACAATTTTGTTTATATATATATAATTTATAGTCACTGGCGCTACACATATTAGGTGTATTATTATACAAACAATTATTTTTAATTTTTAACACTGAAAATAAAAATTTAAAATTTCATTTAAATTTTTTTGGATAAATTAAAAATAACCAATTTGTGAATCTGATAATAAGAACAATTTTGATAAAAAAACATTAGAGTAGTTTATTTTTTAGATTTTTTTTAAATAATTAAATGAATTTTGAACTTTTTTCAAAATATTTTTTTTGGGAATTTGCTGACATGAGTACCTACCTATATTTCTTAAATTATTTACTTATCATATAATTTTAACGATTTTTGTCATACGTTTAAGTAGCATAATTTTTTTTTTTCGTTGAATCTTTTGTTACACCTTGTAATGGTGCGACGCATAGGCGTAGAATGGTGAGCGGTCTAAGGGGGCCATACCCCCCTGGAATTTTAGTTCCCCCATCACGTACATTTTTTTAGTTTCGTTTTTAGAACTTATGCTGTGTACCATAAACATAATACCTAGGCTATAGCCCCCTACATGAATTCATCACTCTACGCCTATATGTAAAGGCGGAGTGATGGCTGCAGATACGGCTAGGATATCGCGTGTAACCCATTTAAATGTAATAACTTTACAGTACTTGTATTATATTATATATGTACTTTTCAAATACAACCCCAGGTCATGTACCTATGCATACTTTAGTAACTTGTTGCAACGATATTACTGCAGTAAACTCTCATTATGCCGAAACTCGGGAGAAACAGAAAAAAATTAGAGATATCTAATAATATTATTTCAAGTGGATTTCAATTGAGTTCGAGATTATGAAAATTCGAGATATCGACGTTTGACTCAATAAGAATCTACTGTATGGAGTCGGTACCGATAAGATTCTGCACTTACAGATAATATGTTATGATCGCACATAATATTATAATATTATAATTATGTTACATTATCACATTATTATAATACGACCCGTAAATACCATAATTATGCTTTAAAAATAATTCTCGAACGATAAACTAGTTTCGGTCGTCGGCATTAATTATAGTGCATAATATTATAATAAAATACCTTTTATTATAATATCATATTCGTATAATGTTGTACGAAAATGGGATATCGATTAACGCCGGAGTGATGACTGTAGGTATACAGGATACCATGATATGTGGCACATTTAAATGCTATATTCGTGTACTTACTTAGGTATATATACTAGTTACTTTTCAAATATTCCAGCCCATTTTACTTACATATAAACGTGTTGCATTGATAAAATTCTAATACATACGCAGAGTCAATAGGACCGATAGGATGCCGATGTACATCGGCGCATTGGTATTTGGTAGGTACATATATTAATACATAATTGTATTATGTTAAATTATCACATTATTATAATATGACCCGTAAATAGTATACCTACACACACGTTAAAAACAAAGCTCACCCGATGATAAACTAGTTGGACCTGGTTAGGTCGTCGACATATAGCTATAATATTATAAAACAAACCCGTTGCTGTGCTCTACTTTATAACGGACCGCAACAAAACGTGTCCTCTAAAATAAAAAAAAACGTAAACTTGTCCGTAGTGAAATAAAACTTAAACGCTCGCAGAAACCGGTGCAGGCGTCAAACGGTATAATAACCAGCGACGCATCTCGTGAATCGTATTCGCAGTGGTTATTATACTCAGCAGGTGGTTGCGATTTTCAAACGCAGAATATTATAATCATATATGATTATTGCGACGAGGTGCGAAACGAATGGTAGGTATTAATCTTATTACGAGAAAATAAAAATTTAAAAAATCATCGCTCGTGTTCGGACGCGCAACGACAACCTCCGGCTGGAGTTTGTCGATGAGTATTGACAGGAAATTTACAATTTTTCGATTTCCGCAGTGAATAATATTATATAGCTTGCCTCGTGTAATATCATTACAGTTTTCAAAACGATTACAAAACATCACGTATAAATAATAATATTTATTGATAATTTCCTCGAAGTCCCGGAAGATTTTCATTTTCGTCTTTGCACGTGTTCTATCGTATTTTTTTTACATTTTTTTTTTCAGAATACATTACAATAATATTTTCCTGTACTCGTTTGATAATTTAAATTTTTGTAAATAAACGTAACATATATGGCCCCATATACTATATATATATAGCTATAAAAACCTTGAATATATTTTAATGATGATGTAGGTAGTCTCATAATAAATAGCCATCAGTTTCAACATTTCTATGCAGCACATAACAATATTAATATAATACATCTGTTCATCAATGAATAATGATTGAAATAAAATGCGTAACATGTGAATGAAAATGTTTTACGTTTTAATAATAGGTATAATGATTATTTGGCATAGGATACTTTTTCGTGTTGTGCTAGTCGTTTTTAATGAATTATTTCATCTTAAAAATATCATCTAATATTTTATCTGTCATGTTATAGTATTATAGTAAATTATAAATTGTATAAGCGACTATAGAAAGTCGTACGGTGTTTAATAGACACACAAATATCGTTACTTTGATACTATCATTTGATCAAAACATATTGCATAAAATCCCACTTTCTGTACCTAATCACATTTTACCAATAGCAGTAAGCAAAAATAATTTATTCTATATAAAAAATATTATTTTTACTATCCATTGCTTGTGAATGAAAATGTATCACATTTTAATAATATTATAATGATTATTTGGCATAGGATACTTTTTCGTGTTGTGCTAGTTGTTTTTAATGTATTATTTCATCTTAAAAATATCATCTAATATTTTATCTGTCATGTTATTGTATTATAGTAAATTATAAATTGTATAAGCGACTATAGAAAGTCGTACGGTGTTTAATAGGCCACAAAAATGTCGTTACTTTGATCCTATCATTTGATCAAAACATATTGCATAAAATCATACTCTGTACCTAATCAAATTTTACGTATAGCAGTAAACAAAAATAATTTATTCTATATAAAAAATATTACTTTAGATATCCATTTTTGTGAACATTAAATATGAATTCACCTCACACCGTACATTAATTGCAAATTTAAGTTTTCCATAGTATAAATATATAATATTATATACGTTTGTACAGAAGTGAAAATAATGGTCATGTGAAATATACGTGTCGTGATTATACTTTTGCAATTAAATCATTGAAAATCATATCGAAGTGAGAGCCAGTTAGACGTTAGTAATATATAACCTTTCTTAATGGTGCACGAGCAGTTTATCGCTATTATAATATAGGTACCTTATTAGTTATTATATTTTTAGTAATTATATATTATATGAAAAAAACAACGATTTATTTAATGGTGACTTTAATAGCTGCTGTTTTAGTCATTATTTTGTAATAATATTCTAAAAATATGATCAATACTTAAATGATTTACAATAACGTTAAGTCGACTACGTCCAGCAAGATTATATGTTATTCACACTTTGCATATTATTCATATAACCTTTAGGCTTTAATGATTACCATAATATAATTATATTATAATATTATTACATATTATTACATATTATTATTATGATTATAATATTCTAAACCAATTCTATACATCCGCAGAGAGCCTTCCGTCGATATCGGCTGAAAACAATGGTTTGATTGGCAAATCACGAGGTAGAAGTCTGTTCCAAAACAGGGAATACGAAAAAGACAACATTTGTCTCACCACCGGTTGTGTGAAAGCTGGTAAGCATAATTCGTTCGATACACAGCTCGATTAATATTATTATAGGTACTTATTTGTGGTAAATTTTAAATAAAATGTGTATATTGTTGTTTAATTGGTATAAAATGTATAAACAAGTTATGGTACTAAACTACTGATATTACCACTATTATAGCGGCTTCCGTGATCAACAATATGGATCCAACGGTAGATCCTTGCGACGATTTCTACCAGTTCGCTTGTGGTAATTTTATCAAAGAAACCATCATCGACGACGACAAGACGTCTCAGACCACGTTCAGCGCCATCAGCGACTCGCTGTTAAACAAGCTGCGAATGATCGTCACCGAACCCATTCAACCGAACGAACAGAAACCGTTCAAAATGGCGAAATTGCTGTATAAATCGTGCATGGACAAAGGTATACCCATTATTATGATCATTGACACATCGCACCCGTATAATATTAAAGTTAATATCAATCACCTAACGCGCGATGGTACATTATCGATTAATAATATATTATATTATAACCTATGATGGAAATATGTATATGTCAACAGAAAAAATAGAAAAGGAAGGCTTGGGACCGATCAAGGAAATGTTGAAAAGCCTCGGCGGATGGCCTGTGCTGGAAGCCGACAAATGGAACGACGCGGATTTCACGTGGAAGGACAGCGTGTACAAGTTCCGAGTGGCGGGCTACAGCGTGGACTACTTCATCGACTTCTCCATCAGCACGGATTTGAAAAACACCACGACCAGAGCCATTGACGTGAGCCGATCTACATATTAATATGATATACAATTTTTTTTTTTAAAATTATTATTGCGTCGAGTGTGTGTATAATAATTGCGTTTTGACGGGGTTTTTTTTGCGCCCGACCGACATATATGATTGCAGCTGGATCAAGCGTCCCTGGGTCTCAGCCGGGAGTACCTGGTCAAGGGCACCGACGAAAAAATCGTGGCCGCGTACTACAAGTACATGGTGGACATCGCGGTGCTGTTCGGCGCCGACCGGTCGAGGGCCACCAAGGAGCTGAGGGAGTCGTTGGACTTCGAGATAGCGTTGGCCAAGATATCGCTGCCGCTGGAAGAGCGCCGGGACGCGGCCAAGCTGTACAATCCGATGAAGATCGCCGACCTGCAACAAAAGTTCCCCAGCATACCGTGGCAAGAGTACCTGAACAAGCTGTTGAACCCGTTGACAATACGGCAGGACGACATCATAATTGTAAACTCGCCGAAATACTTGTCGGACCTCGAGGCCTTACTCAGCAATACGCCCAAGAGGTAAAATTATATGCGAATAATGTGTACGACTTAGGTCGTCATAAATATATTATTGTCGTACGGTGTAATATTAAGTTCAATTACCTACAAATATTACCTCCAAACTTTAATGGGAAACACTCGGAGAAAAGCGATCACTCGTTCTGTTACTGCAGTGGCTATATAAAGAAAAAATTCAAAGTGAATAATAAATTCTTTGGATACAAAGACATATAACAAAACATAGTTTTGTAAATAAAGAAAAATGTTACAGCTGCTTAAACCATATTGTGAAAAAGTAATTTTTTCTAACTAAAAAAAATTCTTAAAATAAATTCCAAACATTATTACAACGAATATGTCATTTGATCCAAAATATCAAGCTCATTAGATTTTATATAATAAGAGCAGTACGAGCCGATGATCCGCGTCTGAATGTTTTTAATTAATTTCCCATGTCATCAATTACGTATTGAACATTATTATTATAGTACTATGAAAATTGTTCTCAAAATGTCATTTAAGTTGCCTATATAAACTCGTTTGATTTTTCAGAATCCAAGCGAATTACGTGATTTGGAGAGCTGCAGCGGCGTCCGTCAGTTATCTGACCGAAGAAATGAGGAAAAGACAGTTGGATTACAGCACCGAGCTCTCCGGCAGGACTGAAAGAGAACCCAGATGGAAGGAATGCGTGGACATAAGTTCCGGAAGTTTCTCTCTGGCCATCGGGTCGTTGTACGTTAGACGGTACTTCGACGAAAACGCTAAGAAAAACGCTTTAGAAATGGTGAACGGTATCAGGGAGGAAATGTACAAAATATTAGCTTCAATCGATTGGATGGACGACGAAACTAGGTAAAGTTCGACATTCCGTTCGTATGCACATCATCTCTTTCGACAGAAAATAATAAGTTTATGGTGTCATTATTTTTGTTTATTTCGTTGCAGGAAAAACGCGATTGACAAAGCAAAATCGATGACCAGTCACATTGCATACCCCGATGAATTATTGGACGACAGCAAGTTGAATGCGTTCTATGAAAATGTAATTAATTATACATAATATAAAACCTAGCTAGAGCGTATTAGAAGCCTAACGATCTATAATATTATGATTAAAACATTTAAAAAATAGTTTTTGTTGTGAGCATTATTGATTGATAATATCGTCGTGTGTTGTTATTTTTGTTCTTAGCTCGAAGTCAACGACAACGACTATTATACATCAATATTAAATTTGACCAAATTCGGCACCGACTACAGCTTTTCGAAATTGAGGCAACCTGTTAACAAATCGGATTGGATTACTCACAGTAAAACGGCAATCGTAAATGCATTTTATAGTGCTATTGAAAACAGTATCCGTAAGTAATATTTTCAATACACCATTACCTAATTGTTCGGCGTCAGCCCTTGTTGTCTAATCACCGAAAATTAAAGTCGGACGTACAAATTAGCCATTTAAACATTTTAAATGAATCGACAAAATGTATAGTGGTCATCAAACAATAATTATTTTCTCGGCCCGTTTACAATATTTTTGGTGACTTCTTCGGAGCTGGGTAAATCAAACGGCTTTTTAAATTATTGTAAAATAGAACGCAAAGGAGTTTATCAATAATTGATAAGCTCCTTATTGTAATCGTCCACTTAACGGAACCGAAATAAAAAAAAAATTAATTGTTTATATAATGTTAAATGTTAAATTTTTTTTTAAAAAAAAACACGATAAATTATAACATATACATTTTAATTACTAATTACGATACTTACATAGTATAATAGCACATTAGGAATCATTACAACCATGTAATTACTAAAATATAAGCGATTATACATTTTCCAGAGTTTCCCGCTGGTATCTTGCAAGGCGCGTTCTTCTCCAGCGATCGTCCTCGGTACATGAACTACGGCGCCATTGGGTTCGTAATCGGTCACGAGATCACCCATGGTTTTGATGACCAAGGCAGACAGTTCGACAAGCAGGGTAACCTGGTGGACTGGTGGGCGGAGGAGACGAAGAAACGGTACTTGGAGAAGGCGTTGTGCATCATCAGACAGTATGGAAATTACACGGCTCATGAAGTCGGTCTCAAGGTGTGTGTAATAGAATATTAAGTTTCTTAAGACAATACGTTTTCACGCGCATTAGCTTCGAGGTTGAATTTTGGTTATTTGTTTAAAATTTAATTTTTATTGAATTTCGAATACCCAGATGTTCAAAAGTCTAATGACTGTCCGCCAAACAGTCGATTTTTGAATTCGAACAATTTATCGAAAATATGTGATAATTTTTTATTACTCGTAATGTATACCCATTGCACCAAACAGTCGTCAATTTCATTGACTTAAACATGAGTGGGGGTGGTAAGAAAATGATATAATTTGATAAATTCAAAACCACAATTTAAAACGAACTACAAATTATATTTTATCGAAAATAACAATACCGATATTGTTTTAATATATTATATCATTCATATTATTATTATTATTATCGTTATTATTATTTTCAAGGGGGTTCTAATCGATTAGATTTGCTATGCACTTATGCATTCCGACCAATAAGCTGGCAAAAAAAACATAGTTACAGTATTGTTGTACAATACTATTGTTTATACTATTTTAGTTTTGAAAAATAATTTGAATTATTTAACCCCTGTTCTGTAATAAAAACTTTTTTTTCGCCTTTTAAAGTGCATGCTTATTTTGAGAAATTAAGTAAGTTAATAATTTTGAATCATACTACATAAGGTATCCAAAATATCGAAAATTTATTTCCTACAAAACAAAGAGAAAAGTCCATCAATTTCAAATTATTTTTAAATATTAAAATTGGTAGTTACTAAAAGTATATATTTTATTATTCGCCAGCTTATTGTCATTATTCATTGTCGTTGTCGTATAAGTACAAAACTATTTTCGAGTGCCTTCAATGACCGGCGCATGCGTGACGTATGGTATAAAACATAGTTACAAACGTTCGCCAACATATTTACATATGAACCACTCTCACACTAGTCACACTTAAAATCGTTTATGAGTAACACGAAGATCATGATCAGTGACATTAAGATATTAAATTGCCTACATTTTGCGCCTTAAACAATAGCCACTAAGAGCCGCAAACTTATTGAAATAATTTGCAGTTATAAATTTATATTTCTAACCGTTCAGAGTATAACATTACAATATTCATCTTGTTGTCTTTGGTACTTCGCAATTCCTTATCTCGTGTCTCGTGGCGCAGAACACTTAGGGCCGTATTCATAGTCGATGCTTCAGAATGAGTACCTACTGCTCAAGCTATACTATTATGACCCAAATGAGATTTATAATCGAGGTCTACCATTGCTTTTAGTTTTTTTTTAAACTATCAAAATTAGCTTGAGCGCAATGACCCTTTGATTTTTATCCGCTATCGTCGTTGAGTTTTATTAATTGATATTTTAAAAAACACCGATCAATTAATGTATTTGAAAATATATTTCGCTCGTCTGCGATCTCCACGAATCGCCATATCATACCTGCCGATACCAATATTGCTTATTTAAACCCCTCGGACCTCGACCACTACAGCTGTATACCCACCCGTCCACCCACCATCTAACCCAACGACTATTGTTTTTCGCAGTTGAACGGCATCAACACGCAGGGCGAGAACATCGCGGACAACGGTGGCGTGAAGGAGGCTTACTACGCGTACAACGTGTGGACCAAACGACACGGAGTCGAACCTCGGCTGCCGGGACTCCAAGATTACACACCTCAGCAGATGTTCTGGGTAAGTGCCGCCAACGTGTGGTGCTCCAAGTACCGACCGGAAACCCTCAAGAACCGCATCACCACCGGTTTCCACTCGCCCGGCCGTTTCCGGATCATCGGCCCGTTCTCCAACCTGGAAGACTTCAGCAACGACTTCCGGTGTCCGCTCGGCTCCAACATGAACCCGGTCAAGAAGTGCCAGGTGTGGTGAGACCGTCCACCCACCCACCCACCCACCCATCCTCCGACCGTGCACATATCATATCGTCATTACAATCGTTTGTTATTTTTACGCGAAATGATGTGATGATAATATTATGATGTGTGTTTATTTTTAAAAAAATCTCGTCGCGCGTGCGCCTTATAATATTGTAATGTCATCACAAACAAATTGTTGTATAGGTGTAAAATATTTTATTATATTATACTCGATTACGATCAAACCAGTGTCCCTCGACTTGTCCCCGCGACCCACCCCACTCGTCACCCGAAAATCATTCCCGTCGACGACTTAACTCTTCCCTCCCGCAGATTGCCCCCCCCCATCCTCCGGACCGTCATAATCCTCCCGCGAGCTTTATCTGTGGTAATTTATTTATATACAATATTTTATTATTATTATTATTATTATTATTATCGTGGTATTGTATTATTATTATTATTGTTTTTAAAACGTACGATATAGTTTAAGTACCTATACAGTCTCTACAATATGAGTATAAAACATGTGACATTTTTTTTTTTATATGATTTAACAATAACAACAAAAAAATTACAAAATTAAGAAAATGTTTTATTTTTGTAATAACTATATTATACCTGTATAAGATTATACTTAATACTTAAACGTTAACAACAAAAAAAAATGTACATAAAGGTATGCTATAAACTGTGTGTGATTTGTTAGGCTCTAATAATCTTTGGTAAACTTATAATTATATACAATATAAATATTTTAAACACATTTCAGTCAATTTCTACAACGTATGTAGCCGGGAACACTCCGACAGCGCCCTTCAGGTCTCCTAGCCACCAGCCGTCGGATTTTTTGCTGTGGATGTGTATAACGTCGCCTAAAACAAAAATATACGAATAAAACGACATCGTTCGATCGTGCCCCACAACGGTGAAAGTGTGATGTTAATGTCCGACTTGCCTGGTTCTAAACTCAATTCGTCGTTTAATTTCGCTGAATACTGATAGAGAGCCTTACAACGAGGTCTTTTTATGTTTTCGTCGTCGTCGTCGTCGTCGTCGTCAGCATCGTCTTCGTCGCTAGAGAAATCATCTACATACAAAAAAATCCTCCTGATTAGTACTAGTATAGATCTATGGAATAACAGACAGTGATAACGGTACTAAAAAATATCATAAATTGGTATTGACGTAATCTAACCTATACGAATGGTCAGCATGTTTAGATGATATCATGAATGTTATATAATATAACAATCGAAAAATTTTTAACGAACCAATCAGTTTAATTGTTATAACATTTATATACTTTTGATAACACGTGGTCCAATATGATTAGAAGCATCACGGTACATATGGTCACTATTATACAACAACTATAATCTGTATAAACGATATGTTTATAAGATTAAGCGAGTACTGAATCATATTAGTTTATTAAATGGCTACCTTAAAATAAACCTCATCTAACTCATTGCATAAATCGATGTGCAGTTATATACTCATCTATAGTAGTAAAAAATGTTTCACGACGAATAAAATATAAATTTTTTTTTGGGCTTCCAATAAGTTGAAGAAGAACACTGAGCACTTGTTAATACAAGCTGCATGGGAATCAGGGGCGTACCCAAAGGGGGGGGGGTCGGGTCCGGACCCCTCCCATTGAGATATCTACATTTACATTTACAAATTATAGTACCTACCTATTGTTATAAACCTTTCTGTATATGTACTGTGAGTGTGTGTATAACTATTGACTATTGTAACTATATTATAGTTATTAATAGTAATATTTTGGTAATGAATTAAACTATAATTATAATTAGAGAACAGATAAAATAAAAATTTTGGACCCCCCCCCCCATAAAAAAAATCCTGGGTACGCCTCTGATGGGAATATTAATCAGATGTGCCTAGATAATATACTTGGATTTATGTTTTTTTCAAATAACATATAGTAGGTACCAGCTATATAATAGTAACTTTTTATGCAGACTTCTTAGAATTATTTTGTTTTATTTTCCGTTTGCTGGTTTTGAAAGGAAATAATTATTATAATATTCATTACACCTCGACGATAATTTTCATCAATAAAATTACGTCATTCGGCGTTTTCGGCAAAACCAAAACCGTTAAATTGTTGGTATACTCCTATTTCCCGTCGAATCGTTGTGCGATTGATATTTGTTTAAACTGTACCTATATGCGACGAGTCTGCATTCCTTTTTGAATCTATACCTAGACAGTTTATCGATGGAAAACCGTTATGATGATATCCCTTTCGTGGAGAATTATAACTACGATTAGGTGGTAGACGCGAATCCGCGTTTTTCGGTGGAACGTTTTTCGTTATTGAAACACGATTCACACGCGACATCAGATCGGACGAATAAAATAAAACCATACACCGACGATCGATATAATTGTAATAACACGGAAATCAAAATAATTCGTGTTAAAAAAATAATAATTCATATAGGTATTTATGGCACTAATTGACTAAAACGTGTCATAGCGACACGACGACGATTCGAGTGCACGACGCATGCGCGCACTACATAATAATATTATAATAATAATAATATATAGGTACGGTCAAATACCATAGAAAAGAACACTGGACAGTCGGATTGAAAAACCGAGACACATTTTGTCTCCCCCCCCCCCCCCCGAAAACGTATGGGTTGCCTATCTTCGAACAAATCATTTCATTGGTCGACAACGCCCCGAGGATTTCTCATATAATATAGGCAACCATCACTACGGTTTTGGGGAATCCTACGTCATTGCGACTGTCCCGTATTGATATATTCTATAGTATTCGGCGAGGTTTCCCTAAGGATTTCCGTCGAACAGTTTTTTTTTTCTATCGGCCGTCGCCCGTCCCCGGTCTAAACATATCCAACAACGGGTCGGGGATGACAGATCGGAACTCGATCCGGAGAGATTCGCGTAAACGCAACGAAAAAATTGCCCACCGATGTCAGTGCCGTCCGCGGATCCCCGGTCTGACCACATGGACTCGTTGAGCAGGGCGTCGATTGGAGCTGCAGAGGACGTCAGCTTCCGGCACACAGCCGCTGGCATCTGAATGAAACGGACAGAGAACAATAATAATATGTTATTATAATATTATGACGGTCGACCGTTGACGGTAAAACGGATGTCCGGTAACTCCGGTGCCACCCCCGAGATGTCGACCTTTTTTCCTAAAAGGAGTGAGGTGGTAAGGTTTTGTTCTAATCGATCTTTGAATTTTTTCGTTTTATATATTTAATTTACTGTCACTTGCGCTACACATATATTATATATTATACAAAAAATTATTTTTATCTTTTGACATTGAAAATTTTAAATTTTAAATTTGTTTAAATTTGTTGGATATATTCAAAATAGTCAATTTGTGAATCTGTTTATGAGAACAATTGATAGTAAAAATATTTATCCAAGTCGAGTAGTTTATTTTTTAGAATTTTTTTTTAAGTATCAATATTTCTTTGATCAGATGAATTTGGAAAGTAATAACTTTTTTTTAAATATTTTTTTTTGGAATTTGCTGACATGAGTATATTTCTTAAATAACTAATCATATAATTTTAACAATTTGTGTCATACGCTTAAGAAGCACCAATTTTTTTTTTTTTTGTCTTTCTGTTACAATTAGTATATGGGCCACGACTCGATGTTTTTACGAACTTCCTCGCATGTTATAATACTACTTGTCGGGGAACATAATATTATGATCGTAGGTATCACGAGGTATATTGTCATCACTAAACCTTATATTATACTATGGTCAGATGTTTCTCAACTTACAATTGTTATTCTCAAAAATAGTTGTTTTTGGTTCATTATTGTTATAAGTTATATTTGAGTTATTTCTTTGGCGAAATTTGCATTTATTTACAATTTTTTTCAAAATATACGTTTATTCACAAAAATCCCTAAATGTGCAAAAATGTGCAAAATAAAATTGAATGTATCTGATCCCACGTCGACCGAAACGAATTTCTTACTAGGTTTGAAACGTGTACGACCAAAAGAAAAAATATGCAAAAGTCATAAACATCCTAACCCTATAGTTGTTATAACCTATACTGCGTGTACAATATTCGTATTTTTATTTTATTTAATAATTGCGAGGCTTCGAATCAAATACACGTGTGCTAATCGAATTTATTTGAGTTACTATATTGAGTTACAATAGCTATTTCGATCGAGTCATAAAATATAATAATACTGGGTGATTCTTTTATCAAACAACACTCATTATTTCAAAAAGTGTAAATTTTTTTGAAAATATTTTTTTACATAGTTTCAAGCCGCTTATAAAACAACGTTTTTATTAAAAAATTATATTTTAAAATATTTTTTATCCTTATAATTTTTTAAGTTTTTTACTTTTTTGAATGACAACATAGGGTTGTCAAAAAATGTATCAAAATACTAAGAAAAATATTCTACTTTAGAATATAAAATTAAAACCCTATGTTGTCATTCAAAAAAGTAAAAAACTTAAAAAATTATAAGGATAAAAAATAATTTAAAAAATAATTTTTTAATAAAAACGTTGTTTTATAAGCGGCTTGAAACTATGTAAAAAAATATCTTCAAAAAAATTTACACTTTTTGAAATAATGAGTGTTGTTTGATAAAAGAATCACCCAGTATATCTCCCGATTTCCGGTATACCGTTCAAACGTTTCATATCGTGTTTGTCGTGACCCGATTTACCCGCGGGCAATAATAAAAAGATTGAAATATTTTTATCAGATATTATATTATTATTGCCGACGGTCCGACAAATCTCGGTGGGCGGCGAGGACCGATGTACTGCTGCGTGGGTACTACTACGTACTTTGAGCACCGACATCTGATGTCCGTTTTTGTCTCTGGTCGTCTCGATGTGCTGCGAGAACGTGTTGGAAGCGGCGGGCGGGTGACCTTCCAGAGTGGCAAGAGCCGTAACCACTTTGTAATTGACCGCTTCCAAGTACAGTATCATTAAATTCGTCT